CATTTTGAAAATGTTTTACTTCTTTCGTCTATTACTTTGATAAATGATATACTAGTATTTCACTTCTACACGCTGTTATTTGTTTTTGTCTGCTTTTAACAAAAAAAAAAAACTCAGTCGATTGGCAGTAGAACTAAAGAGCATAAAGAACATCACTGAAGGATAGTGGGCATTAAACTGATATCAGATCATATATTTATAGACCTTTAAAAAAAATCCTGTATATTTCGGATTAATAAAATTATTAATCTATACTTTCTTAATGTTTTTCAATATTGTAAGACATTACCTGAAACATGAAGAATCTACTTCCAAAATAAGAAAATCCTGATTGCATACACATTCATTTATCCCTTTGTCACAAGCCTGTTAATTACAAAAATTAATAAAACAGGTACAGCGTAGTATGCTTAAAATATGCAAACATTTTCTTACTTAATATGCAGTATCATACCTTCATCATTTGCATATAGATTTTATATATCTCAGATGATTCGATACGTAAGAGCATGCACTATACATGAACAATTTCTTAGACGAGGTAAATTATTGACTAACAAGTTGATGAAACAAGAATATCAGCGGTCTCGTTTAAAGTCATCATTTTGTAAGTTCTATAGTCGATACATTTGTACAATGACCTTGTCATCAAATACAATTTATCATGGAGTCAAATGCTGACGGACGTTTTTCATACTAATTGTTAGTCCATTATTTATGCATTGAATTGACGACGGTTTTTTCTGTTAATTCCCGATCGTGACAAGCTAGGAGCACACGCTTCAGTTTTTTATTTATTTTGTATGCCTGATGCACGTGGACAGTACCCATTAGATAATCGTTTGTTTTATCAACAAGTATGTTTTATCAATAACACTTCCGGTTTTAACACAACTTTTCGTTTCAAGATGTAAATTTTTCATAACTCTTATGTTAATGTTCTTGTCTTGTCAGATAAATGCTAGTTAGCTAAAATATTTGTTAAAAACAAAGAAGACTCGTTTCAATTAACCTAAATATCTTTTTTACTACTGCCATAACACCCCGACCCCCCACCACCTCGTTCTCATATGCAAACTATAGTCTTAATTACGTTTCACATCTGAAAACCGAATCGGATCTGGTTCTATTGAAGAGTAACAATCCCAACGAGAATGGGCAAAAGGACGATATTGGCCATGGGTCACTAAACAAAATGGAGTGCCGCTATTTTACAAAAATGTTCTATTCAAATTATCGACCGCAGCCATTAATTGACACTGTAAGTAAGGATTGATTTCCGGACCTTTGTCAGCAAATAGAATTTACTATATATCAATAAAGTTTATTTATATAACCACTAGTATTTAGTAAAACAACTAAACCAATAACACTGTCTACTTATCAAAAATAATATTTATAAACAGTATCAAATTACTAAAACCAAGGGGTCAAATATATTTCTAAAAATCCAAATAAGATCTAAAGATAACAAAACAGTGTACTCTTCAGAAATATCTTTAAACAACATAAAAAAACCTAAGGGATCAACATCAAATATATTAAAAATAAATATGAATAAAATATCTTATGAAAAAATACGTAAAAACAAAGAGAAGAAATCAAAAGCAAGTCAACGCCGACATAATACAACAGAAAACGCGCTTGAGCAAAATATCATGTTTAAAGCAGAGATTCAAAAGTATATGAAATACAAGTGAACAAAGAAAACAAATTCAAGATTTTCTTACAATTTAAGTAAAGATGGAAGGGTTTTCCAAAAAGTTCATAGACATGACATTCTTGTCAAAATGAATGGTTTTAAGTTTTACTAGTTATAACCCAAACTACAAGGTATAAAAAATCAAAGTTGGAAAAGTTTGGGTTTAATAGTTTGAAATTAATACATTTATTAAAATCGCAGTCATATTTTCGACGATAATGTGCATGGCCCAATCTTATTTTTTATATACATATTTACTAAATCAAGGTCCACGAGATATTATCGTACACGTTTGTAATCGCGGATGTTATCAAGAAAATTTGGCATTTGCCCAATTATGAATTTTTTCGACAAAGCTAGTATACATTTTTTTATGATCTGTTGATTTTGTAAAACATTATAAATTAAAGTGGACCGATTGTGGTTTTTATTGCGCAATATTTCGCGCTTTAGAGTAAAAATAAAGCACTTTTACGGTTTTCAAGCAAATTTTTTTCGCTTAATTAATAAAATTAAACAAAATTAAGAAATTACAGGTCCAAAATATAATTACAATTTTATATAACTATTTTTTAACCGATTTTGCTATTGATAGGTAGGTTGACGACGTAACAGTGTCTTTTTGACGTTATAATAAACTGAAACTCTCAAAGAAAGGGGTTATAAAAATGTTATTAAAGAAAAAAGTAATAAACGTACGCTCTTGAAACTTAAATCATGAAAATTTGAGAATGTTTCTATTATTTCTATTATGTTTCGCAATAAATCCTCTGTGTCCATCATATCAAGCAGTACTCTAAAAAAGAAAAGAAGAAAACAGGAAAATTCGTTAATTCTTGGCATTTTGAGATGCCCCGTATGGAAGCAAGATGGTAAAATTTTGTATTTCTTAAAAATATAATGTACAATATAGTATTTTTCATTAAATATAATAGATTAAACAAATGTCTATTGAAGTATTGGTATAATTTGATTTTAAGTGCCAAAATTGGCATTTTCCTATATATAATCCTATTAATAATAAATGTTCCTATACTTTGAGACAGTCCCTTAAAATACCTGGACGGTATATTTTCCCCAAACTTGGCATGTACACTGAAGTTAATATAAGTTGTATATGGTATAAAAATTAAAAGTTTCGCTTTTGTAGTTTTCAAACAATAAAGCCCCAGCCGTCCCCCTTAAGCACACATTTGAGACTCTCTGTTTCAAGTTCTCTTATACTGTTAATCTAATAGTTTCAATTCTAAATTCTTTTAAGGAAAATGACGAGGGGGGGGGGTCTGAAGTGTTCGTTAAAACACTGTGTTTTTAACCTTTCAAGTTTCTTCAAATTAAACGTCTCCTTTCTGCGTCCATTTCTGAGGGTGTTGTTTGTATGTTGGACACTTCCTGGTAAAATAGGTGTCTGAAAAAAGGAAAACTAACCATGGGTCACAAAACTCGTCTGATTAACTTGTCGGCCGATTTTCCCCAATATATCCTTGTGAAAATAAAGATGTATTCTTGCCTGCAACAATATGTTTTTTTAACAATAAACCCTGAATCCACAATATTTGGAATGCTTCTTTTAAAAAAGGAATATAATATTCTTGGCCCAATCGTATCCCCGGGGATAATGTGTATAATTTGAACAAACTTGAATCATCACTATCCCCAGAAAGCTCTAAATTTCGTCATTACTGGTCCAGATGTTCTCGAGAAAAAATAATAATAACCCCACTTAATACTAAAATTCCTTTTTGATATACCCTTTGGTAGAGAACTTGGCCCTTCATTTGCGCTGATCTAAATTTCCTTAACCCAGGGACAACCTGGGCAAATTTTGCTTGGAATTGGCACAGTGGGTCTGGAAAGAATGACGATGTGAAAAACTCACAACGACGACAATGAACGATCTTCGATCAGAAAAGCTCATTCAACGTTCAGCTCAGGTAAGCTAAAAATTGTAATTTGTATTGAAAATACCAATTAAAAGCAGTCCTACAGTGAATTAAACACAAACAAGGATTAGGCTTTTTGAAAACATAAATATTTTCAGACTATCACAATTCAATTTCATATTCAGGGAACATGTGCTTTAAATAATATCTTTATCGTTTAGAATAAAACATCCTTTATTTACCCTATATATGTGATTTAAGGTTTTTAATCTATAAGACAAGAAGAAAATTACCTTGTTAACATCTTTACGTTTTGGAAAACACCATAGAACCGATTTCTTTCGAAGCCGACTACAAAAACAACAGACATCCATTGTTAATTGTTTTCAATATCAATTTCTTTTTGACATTATACCTTAATACATGGTCATTATAGACATGCACTTCACACAGCAGGAAAAGCTTTGCAAGTGTCAAGAATGAATCATTTCATGAAACAGATTTCAAACGAACATTTTCTTTCTACGAAAAATTACAAACCTTTCTCCAAAACTTGAGAAGTTCTTTCCTGTGAATCTTGTGATTTTCTTTAGCGTGTTTACTACAACAGACTGTGTCCTTTTTTAGTTGAAGAAGCTCATGTTCAGATATGAAGAAATGTTCAACATCTGCGCAGAATTCTTTTTCTTGACAGAAATATCCAATATCATATTCCACTTGTTTGTGAAATGTGGCCGTTAGAGATTTCATCATGCTCTCAATGTCTTGGCGTATTTTTAGAGTAATATTAACATCAAGGTTACCCTCACGGCAAACAACTTGAAGCTGGATGGATGGCTTACAAACACCAACGAGAACATGATCCTCATCTTCGTTTTTAAGAAAAACTGCATCTTTGCAAACTAAAGGTACATCATCGTGAACCAGAGCATGCCACCTTGTCATACAATGGACAACAAGTCGATAGTAAAAGAAATGAGGCAAGAATGTCTTGAATCGGAAAACCAAAGTGGACGTTTTGTTTGTGCAATTGCTTAGAATCTTGTCATAGGTATCGGATCTACTCTCCTTGTTCATACAAGGTACATAGTGGTATATTTGTCTTGGTTTCTCTTCAGCTTCTTGTTTTACGCATAAGGGCGGTCGGTAAAGTGATTCGTTGCGTTCTTCTCTCCCAATCACTATAAGACCCAGCCTTTGCATAAATTGTAGGATGGAATTTTTGTGTTCAGCAAAGCATTTGTAGTTGAAGTTTGACCACATATCATCCAGAAGCTGATCACCCAACTGGCCTGTCTGGTTGAAGAGCATCCAGTCGCCGACGGTTGGAGATGCCTCTTTAACTTGTGTTGGGTCGGTAATTATGTTCTTAAAAGCATCAACAAACCACTGAACATCAACAATAACCATTTTATTTAACCCTTCTTCATTGAAAAAAGTATCGTTCCAATCTCGTGAAAGAAAGACAGCATGATGCGCAAGTCTTCATCTTTTTCAGGAAGTTCAGTCTTAATGTTTTGTTTTAGTTCTTCAATGCTCATCATCTTTTTTTCTGTTTTCATTTCTGACAGAGATATTTCAAACATAGCCCACTTGGCAGGAACTCTTTCTCCCCAGCGTGTTTGTTGAGCAGCAACTTCTACAATGGCTTTCTCTATCTTTTTTGTTTCAATTTCTTCCAGAGGCGGAACTCGAATCTGAAAGTATCGCTTCTGTGAGAGGTGTCGTTTTAATTCAGAGTCTCTTTGTAAGCATTCCATTAATTCGTCATAAAAACATTTTGTCTTCCCCTGAAAAGAGCAATGAAGAATAAAAATTACAAACAGTAATCATAATGAAAGTGCAATCAAACAATACTAAAACGAGCACGCTCGAATTTTTGAGGACTAGGATAAGGGGTAATTGATTTTCATATGTTATTATTAAGTGTTACTAGTCCATCAAACTTCTTGATTCACTTCTTTAGGAAGCCACAACCCATTTATTACGTGAAAATGTTATTGTTTGATCTGATATTTTTTGCAATAACTCATCATTATAATTTGCGAAAAGTACGATGCAAAATTTGAAATTTGAAATTTTGTCGCTCAGAAATTATAAGAAGGGTTTTATTAAAAGACAGAAAATACACTAGTGAGATGTTTGATGCAGATGATTGATCTCATTATATTTCTTGTTCTTACATCTTGTACTTCTTCACTGACTTTATCTTTGTGCGTTGCAACCAATACTACAGGCGTTGTATCATCACAGTAAGTGCTTATAGACTGCATCCAGTAAAGGAAGTATTCTAAAAATAATTCAGCGTTTTTAATTTTTCTGTTTGCTTTTAGAAAACCTACAAAACAATATACACACTCAAAAATCTGTTAGTCTTGTACGTGTTACACATTTATAAGTTTCTATAATCTTTTATCACAACTATATCTTTATGAAATTTATAAGAAATATGCCCCAATGAATGAAATAAATTGCACTTAATATTTTAGTTTCCTTCATCCAATGTCACCCAAATAAATACAACGTATTTTTATGAATAGAAAAAAGTCTTAACCTTTGTATGTCCAATCTTCATATATGGACCCATTTGCGTCCAATCGAGTGGAGTCAACCTTTTCTTCCAAACGTTTTTTACATGTCTATCACAAGAATATAGAATGCACGTCTTGTAAGGTAGACTTGATGACAGGCATAATAGAACACTGACCGCCAAAGTCAGTTACACTGATCAGTTTTCTCTTTTCTTTATGTGTCTTTCAACATCGCAAGACATTCCCTGTGGTACTTCTGTAAAATTAATTAACCCTGTTACTTTCTTTACAATACATGCCTACACAACAATTCGTGTTTGATGAAGGGATATGATACTAGTAAGTAGTAACATGATAAAAAAAACAGAGTTAATGTAAAACATGTGAAAAAATGTCTTAAAACAGTGCTAGCATAAAACGGAATATACAATAAAAAAAGGAAAATGAGCATCATTTTTGGGGGAATGGTAAACCATTGAGTTTTAAGTGAAATGTTATAGATTAAAGTATATGTCAACCTTTCAGCAATTTCTGGTCTTCATTATCCTCAATTTGGAACATATTATGATGAACTTCGAGCCCTACAGTTGACTCAGTGGTGTATAAGTCCTCTAATGTCCATTTGGATTGAAGCCTTCTTAGGAAGGTGGTTTTACCTGCCCCCACACACCCAACGATCATCGCTCTTCCCCTGAACATTTCAATGCTTTCTTCACGTATGCTTTTCAAGAACTTCAGGCGCTGGTCATATTCCCATCTTAGAATTTCCTCAGGGATTTTCACTAAAAATGAACAATCAAAGCTAACAATTTTTAGATTGAAGGAAAAAGGGGAAGATACTAAGTAACGAATAGAAATTGATCTCAAAAACATTACATTTTTCATTTCTTAAATACTTTGTTCATAGAAAGTTTTATGTGATGCTTACCGATTTTGTACTATTTTTTGATAGGTTGTATCCGCTAAATATACTTACATATTCGGCTCACTAATGGATGAATATTGGTATCTGTAATAGTGGGATGTGGGATGATACCCAAGTCTAGTTTTACAATGAGTTTCTCAGTGAAAATGCTAGGGAGACAAATACACCATTCTTCTTGAGAACCAAGATACCCAGATGTCCTGAAATACTTTGCGATCAAGGCAACTGGTGCCTTGTCCAGAAGGAAATGAACGTTTTTCTGCACAAGATAACCGTGTTGAATATAAGCCCAGAGAGTCTGTTTCTCAACATCATCTGAAGTAAATGTTAATTTGGTCCCCGTACAAATCATGCTATCATATATGGAGCAGTCAGATCTTATATCATCTGGAATAGGTTCTGCGTCTGGTCCCTTGGAGAATGCGTACAAGTCCTTCAGGATCTCCAACTGATCTTTGTTTTCCAGATCCACGGAGCCTCCTTCGCAGAAGAGAAGCCAGAAATGGAGGTACCTTTTGATGGAGTTGAAATCTATTCTGCTAAACAAATCTGTAAGATAGTGTTGAGGCATTAGCTATAGAGCATACTAAAACTTTTGGTCTACTTCGTTTGCAAGTCTTTAGTTATATAGTACGTAGTTCACAGTTCCTTAAATTGATAAATACACTAGAGAGTTTATTGAGAAGAGAAAAAGTAAATGCTCTCGGTTAATTATAAGTAAAGGATCACCATATTCGTGTCGTTCTTCTTGACCCTTAACGTGAGTACAATCCTGAGTTTCGACATGGGGTTCTGGGATCATGACGATATAGAGGTCAAGGTCACTAGTCTCAGATTCAGAAGTTGTGTCTGGTTTCAAATACGGCCAATCCCAATGGTTTGATAATGGTTCCCCAACATTCACTGCAGAAGGACTTTTGAGGCGTACAGGAGTTATTCCTAAATAACAAAAATATACTGTAAATTCAGATATTTTCGTGGGGTCAAATTTTCTAGGTTTGAGGAAAAAATATTGGCTTGTGGAGATTTGATTTCGTGGTTGGAGATTGTTTTGCAGAAATGCATAGGGAATTTTACATTTTGTAGTGGTCATAAAACAACAAAAATTAGCCATGGTCTTTGTTATATAACGCTTTCAAGTACAAATATACGCGTTAATGAAATTTTCGAGAGCAGACAGACTCGGATAACTAATTGCAAAATAACAGTTCTCGCAAAAAAGGAATGTGCTTTAAAAATAGCTATAAAAGGCAATAATCTACCACATCAGTTTCTTATTTAGACATTTTACTAATATACATGCAGTATTCTAGTAACTTACCTATATGAATAGGCCTGCTCATGAAAGAACGTAATAACGACGTTCCCATACATGAGTATTTTCCACTATCCTCTGAAGTAGCACCATTGATAATCAGCATGGGCGTACTGTCTGTTCCTGTTTTGTACTTCACTCCGTTTGATATATCAATGGCCGATTCATTTTTGGTCCACATAATATTTGATAAATTCGAGTTCCATGGTATGAATATATACAGTCCATTCATACATTGCCTAATTGCGATGACTAAATAAATGTTAAAGAAAAGAACCAATCTTGTGTTATCAAAGATGAAGTAACAAAAGAGTAGCACAGTGATAAAAAAAAAGTCAGTCCTTAAAAAAATTCTAAATCTAGCCTTATGTCTCCAGCTCTATAAACAAAAACAGTAAAAATTAAAATTCTACTTCACAGAATTACTCTTTTGTAATTTGATATACTCCATTCATATAATCTCCGTCCTCAACCAACATGTCAAACCAGAAGTCTCTGTCGAGACTGTAGCTCTACTGGTTTGTACTTATCAAAAACCATTGCACTATTTTATGTATCTTTGTGTAGTCTACTTGTGTGCCAACTTATTTTGAAATCAAACTAAAACTGTAGAAGGAGTAGCGTTTTAAAGGAATTTCACAGAAAATACTATATATAGTAACCATGCGAAATCAAAAACCGATGCCATCTATGTATCTTAGTGTAGTCTACTTGTGTGCCAAGTTATATTGAAATCAGACCAAAACTGTAGAAGTAGTAGTGTTTTAAAGGAATTTCACAGAGAATTCTATTTTTAGTAACCATGGCAACACCGTTCATCGAAATCAAAAACCGATGCACTGTTCTATGTATCTTAGTGTAGTCTACTTGTGTGCCAAGTTATATTGAAATCAGACCAAAACTGTAGAAGGAGTAGCGTTTTAAAGAATTTCACAGAAAATTCTATTTTTAGTAACCATGGCAACACCGTTCATCGAAATTAAAAATCGATGCACTATTCTATGTATCTTAGTGTAGTCTACTTGTGTGCCAAGTTATATTGAAATCAGACCAAAACTGTAGAAGGAGTAGTGTTTTAAAGGAATTTCACAGAAAATTCTATTTTTAGTAACCATGGCAACACCGTTCATCGAAATCAAAAACCGATGCACTATTCTATGTATCTTAGTGAAGTCTACTTGTGTGCCAAGTTATATTGAAATCAGACCAAAACTGTAGAAGGAGTAGCGTTTTAAAGGAATTTCACAGAAAATTCTATTTTTAGTAACCATGGCAACACCGTTCATCGAAATTAAAAATCGATGCACTATTCTTTGTATCTTAGTGTAGTCTACTTGTGTGCCAAGTCATATTCGAAATCAGACCAAAACTGTAGAAGGAGTAGCGTTTTAAAGGAATTTCACAGAAAATTCTATTTTTAGTAACCATGGCAGCACCGTTCATCGAAATCAAAAACCGATGCACTATTCTATGTATCTTAGTGTAGTCTACTTGTGTGCCAAGTTATATTGAAATCAGACCAAAACTGTAGAAGGAGTAGCGTTTTAAAGGAATTTCACAGAAAATTCTATTTTTAGTAACCATGGCAACACCGTTCATCGAAATTAAAAATCGATGCACTATTCTTTGTATCTTAGTGTAGTCTACTTGTGTGCCAAGTTATATTGAAATCAGACCAAAACTGTAGAAGGAGTAGCGTTTTAAAGGAATTTCACAGAAAATTCTATTTTTAGTAACCATGGCAACACCGTTCATCGAAATCAAAAACCGATGCACTCTTCTATGTGTCTTAGTGTAGTCTACTTGTGTGCCAAGTTATATTGAAATCAGACCAAAACTGTAGAAGGAGAGCGTTTTAAAGGAATTTCACAGAAAATTCTATTTTTAGTAACCATGGCAACACCGTTCATCGAAATTAAAAATCGATGCACTATTCTTTGTATCTTAGTGTAGTCTACTTGTGTGCCAAGTTATATTGAAATCAGACCAAAACTGTAGAAGGAGTAGCGTTTTAAAGGAATTTCACAGAAAATTCTATTTTTAGTAACCATGGCAACACCGTTCATCGAAATTAAAAATCGATGCACTATTCCATGTATCTTAGTGTAGTCTACTTGTGTGCCAAGTTATATTGAAATAAGACTATAATTGTAGGAGGAGTAGCGTTTTGAAAAATTGTTTACAGACAGACAGACAGACAGACGGACGGACGCCGGACGCATTACTATGGCATAAGCTCTTCTGGTCTCTGACCAGTAGAGCTAAAAAGGACAATGGGGGCTAATTAAGCTACTTGCTTGTCCCTGTTTATGATATCTCTGACATTTTCCTGGCTTTTCTTACGATTTTGATATTGTGCATGCCAGGAAAACGTCAGAACCGGCGCCATTACGAAAAATGGGAAATCGCCGCCTCCAACCGGAGGCGGCATTCACGAGTTGATCTTGTAGATACTTGCGAACCGAATTAAATTTCAATGTCACAAGTTATCAATAGTACAATACTTTTGGTACTCACCAATATCGTTTTTATGGTTCATTTATATAATATAAAATCCGTCGAGAAGATTTCATCATACTCTCGAGATTTGTCTTTATTTCGTGCATTTTAAAATCTTGCAAGCCCTGTAACTAAACGTGGTGTGATATTTTCTTTTCATCAATAATGGTAAGTACTACATGTATGTGTTGTTCTTTTGAAATATTCTGATTTCGGCATAAGTGCGGTTTGCAAGTATTAAAAATGAAATCCAGTGCGAGACGGAGAAATTTCCCGTTTTCCTGGCATGTAAAATATCAAAATCGTAAAAAAGCCTTGAAAACGTCAGATTTTTCGGACTAATAGGTCATAGAAGGTCACATGTCAAATTTCTAATTTTTACGCTTAATGCAAATTTTTATCAATTTTCTAGTGCAATTTGCTTCAGAAAATATAAATATTAATTTTGTCTGTCTTCCAAGTTTATATTTTTTTAATCAGTAATATCTGAATCCAAAGTGACTATAAAAATCTAAGATAGGCAAGTGTATGCTCTACTTTTCCTGAGTTGATTTAAGGAATCACTGTCTAGTTTGGAGCTGAGTATGCCAGGGCATCAACAATAGTGCAAAGATGGCATAATTTGCATAACGGGCGAAGCCCGTTATGCTAAAATTATCCCATGTTTCCCACTATTGTTGATGTCCCTGGCATACTCTCAAAACTAGACAGTGATTCCTTATATTTCCATTTCATTGTGAAATAAAATTGTAGACTTAGACATTAAAAATGCAGACTAATAGATTTAATTACACGAGGACTTCCATGCCATTTTCAATGGTCCTAGCACACTGACGTCAAACACAAAGGCAGCCGCACGAGATTTACATACATTTTGCCTCCTTAGCGTCAGACTCAGAGACAGATGCGCACGAGATTTGCATGCGTAACAGGCCTCCTTAGCTGCTGACCTATCCACCTGCCCAAATTACATTCCGGCAGAATTATCAAAAAATAAATTCCCCAAACTTTCAAACAGTTATCACAGAGAAAAAAATTAGAAATGGAAATATATCAATCTTATTTGTGTAAAAAAAACTCACCTAGTTGGCTGCTACCTGGGTCCTCTTGTTGCTACACCTACTATTCACCTGTGAATGCAACAACGGTAGTTCGGTAGTAGCTGTGAGTTTGAAAGTGCACCGAGTTATTTCCGCAGTTTGTTTTCTTCTCCGGCGCCTTATAAAAAACGCAAAACCGCCAACAGCCATGACTAGAAATATAAAAACTACGACTATGATTACGTAGAGATCGGCCTCTGTGTTCTTCGTCCAGTCGTCAGTTGTATACGTGGAATTTATGTCATAGTGATATGTTGATACGGAATGTGACGTTGAAACACCTTGCGTGACAAATGACGGCTGTATCGTCGTCAAACTGAAATATGAAATGAAGACTTTCTTTGATCAACAAATCTGTTCATGCAATAAAAAAAAGCAAAAAGGAAAAGAAGAAAACAAGATGTGTTTGTGAAACACTATGCGCCCGGCGGCAACAAAGTTCAAAAAATCTATTTTTAGCATATTGGTCACAGTCAAGGTCACAAGGTCACTGATCTTGGTGTCATTTGTCCAATCACATCATCTCGGGTCTTTCCGTCAAAGATGACAAACAGTCGGAAAAACAACCTCAAATGTATTAACATCACCGGATGTTAAAAATTTATACATCTTCCTGATTTATTGAAAATACAGGATAGACAGATTTAGAAGTCCCTTGTATCGTATATTCTAAGTAATATCATTAAATTGTATAAAGTTAAATTCCATATTCCACAGATAAAAGGTCTCCATGCATTTATTTCAAAGATCGTGAAAAAAGAGTGGTTGTCATGGCGTCTACCATATACATTCGAGGTCGTTTTTTAGCATAGTCACGGAAAGGCCACACAAGTTGCGGTGTCATTCAAAAGAACTTAATGGGTGGAGTATGCACACCAAATATGAAGTCTCTATCTCCTTAGTTCAAAAGTTATGGCAAAAAGTGTAAAAGCTATTTTTAGCATATAGGTCACAGTCAAGGTCACAAGATCATTGACCTTGTCGTCGTTTGAAAGGACTTTATTAGTGGAGTAAGTATACCAAATATGAAGTCCCTATCTTCTATGGTTCAAAAGTTATGACAAACAGTGGAAAAAACTATTTTAGCATATAGGTTACAGTCAAGGTCACAAGGTCATTGACCTTGATGTCATTTGAAAGGACTTTATTAGTGGAGTATGCATACCAAATATGAAGTCTATGTCTCCCATGGTTCAAAAGTCATGGCAAAAAGTGTAAAAAGCTATTTTTAGCATATAGGTCACAGTCAAGGTCACAAGATAAGGATTGGCCTTCTTGTGGTTTGAAAGGACTTTATTAGTGGAGTAAGTATACCAAATATGAAGTCCCTATCTCCTATGGTTCAAAAGTTATGACAAACAGTGGAAAAAACTATTTTTAGCATATAGGTCACAGTCAAGGTCACAAAGTCATTGACCTTGATGTCATTTGAAAGGACTTTATTAGTGGAGTATGCCTACCAAACATGAAGTCTCTAACTCTTATGGTTCAAAAGTTATGGCGAAGGTTAAAGTTGACAACAGACAGACAGACAAACAGACAAACAGACAGGACAAAAACAATATACGCCCGGGATCTATAAATACGGGCACATAAAAATATATGTAGATATAAAAGGAGGACATCTTAAATGTACTTTGTGTAAAAGAGA